TCAACAATGCAAAATATTGCTTCATTTCTGTACATCATTGCTGTGCAAACATATATTTAATTTTATACTGAGACAGATGCAGCTCTGAGTTATTTAAAAGGCATAATAAAGTTATTTAATCACATTTAAAGGTCTGGATCAGGGCACGTGTGTTCTCACTCAAGACCATTGGATAAATAATTTCTGTGCTCACAATAACTTATTTGAGCTTTTGGCTATTTTAAGATATTGTATTACAGTGCTTGATTCATTATTTAAACTGTAAAATAAAAAGACAGACAAATCTTCCCTCTGCTGGTCGGTTATTATAGTATTACATCTTAATGATCTAGAAAATTATTTTATTTATCACAAACACTGTAAATCTGTCTGCTAACAGTAGCATAAACAGGATGAAATGTGTTCTTTTATTTTAATGTATATTGTAACATCTAAAACTGTTAAAGTGTTCGTCAAAAAGTCTTGACAAAAACCTGGGGATTTTTTTAGGGTTACTAATAATAATAATAAAAAATAATACAATTTATTTAAAGAGCCTTTCAAGAAACCCAAGGTCATTGTACAACGTGTGTGTATGTGTATATATATATATATATATATATATATATATATATATATACACACACATATGTATAGATAGATAGATAAATTCAATCATTTAAAAATAACTGACAGTATAAAAAAAGAGAATAGAGGGTTGCATTATTGGTGTTTACGTCTGACAATTTGTATTATTAGCATTAGTATGCCTCTGGAAATTAATTTGTTAAAGAAATGTTTACAGGATCTCTTTATTTTGTAATAAAAGTATAATGACCAATTCTCCATGTACAATGACTTTCTATTATGAGTTAAATCACTCACAACATAATACCACAGTCACTTATTGTAAATACTGTAGTATTTTTCAAACACACTATGCTAAAGTGTAATATATTTTATATATTGTAGTATTTACAACACTTTCTTAATGAATGCTACTGCACACTATTATTAACTATAGCAAACTGATAATCTCTACTGTAGTACACTAGTTATTGTGAACTATGGTGTATAATATACCCTTTTTTGCTAATAAAACTGTAGTATTAGTTAATTTATTAGATGTTTATTTAGCCTAAACTATATTTAGCATATGTAGAATTACCACAACAGATTAATTCAAGTGTTTTATTATAGTATGCTTCAGAAACACTTTAGATTTACTATAAATTACTGTAGTGTTTTTATTGTTTGTGCATGAGCTTCTTGGGAACACAGTGTTTGTACAACAGTGACCAGAAAAGCCATGCTTGTTTGTTTCAATGGGCCAAAGCTATAGGAATTTTGCCAGTTATAAAACACTGGCCAAAAGTGTAGCTCTTGTAACTCCAGTGTTTAAGTTCATATTTCATAGTCAACGAGAAGGCGAGCCGCGGTGACGTCACGCATTCTGGATTCGAACGCGTTCTAAAATTCCAAAAGACGCGCGCTGCAGGTGAAGCGCCTCAGAACTCTTCAACGCCTGCTAAGGTAAGCTGAATGCACTCTGACTTGGTCAAGTTTTACAACAAAAAACATAAAATGTTTGATTTCCCCGAAGAAAATAAAATATTGGTCACACTGTTTAGATTAAATAATCACCTTTATCGTCTGAATAAATAATTACATTCGAGAAAAATCACTAAATACTTGTTTTCAAATACTATCAAATCACACAACACGAGTTTAAATGTCGATATTTAATACTGTGTTGTATATTAATATTATATGACTGTTGTAGATAATACTATTGATAATTCTACTGCTTAAAGTGTCCTTATTTGTATACGTTTTTCATGATATATGTAATAAAATTGAGAAATATTTGTACATGCCAAGAAAACAAATGTATTTTAAGCTTCTTAAGGAGTGGAACTGAGATCACATTTGAAGAGTACTGCAAAAATGCTTTTCTTACTTAGATATATATATATATATTGTTAGTCCAAATATCTAAAGTTTAAATTCAAGAAGCATTTTTAGACAATCAAAAAATGTGGTCTTGTTTTAAGAAGTAATATGCCAAAATTAAGTGAGCTTTCACATAAAGCAGTCAAAATAATCTGCCAGTGAGCTACACAAAATAATCTGTCAAAAGAAAAACTATCATTTAGCTCACCTCATTCAGATTATTTTAATTGCTTTCAAAATAATGACTCATTTACAGCCAAACAATCCCCACTTATGGTCGAGATGACTACTAAAGAAGACACATTTGAAACTCAACCATGACTGAATCATAATTATGAATGCAAAAGTCTAATGTGAGTTGTGTTTTTGTCTCTAGTAAATGGATCGTGACATTCAGCAAGCAGAGAAAATGGCTTTGAAGAGCAAAGGGGAGATCAAGAAAAGGATGAGGGTGATGTTTCCGTCTTCTTCGGTAGATCTGGAGGATTCGTCCTTTTCAGGTCCTGGAGATAATGGCGAACTCCCCTCTCCGTCCTCCCGAAAGCGCAGATTTCCATCTATGCGCCGTGTTTTTGGCAAAATCCTATCGATTTTGATGCCGTGTGTGTGTGTGTCGTCTGAGGAGGAGGATCCCTCCTTCGTCAGCGACAGGAAAACTGATGCTTCGTTCTCAGCTGCAGTCCACAGATCATCCGAAGGTCATCCAGAGAATGATCTGCCTGCAGGCCAGCAGAAAGAAGCAGTTGAAGGTGTGAGAATATTAATAATTCACTGCTTTACTGGAACATCTTATTCAGCTCAGCTTCTGTCTTTAAAGTCTAAAAAGTTCAACACATGTATGTCCTTAATAGAAACTAAATGACTCTGTCTGTTATCCACAGCTGTAACGTTATCCACAGCTGTACTTGAAGACCCCCCCACCATATCTGACATCAACGAATGTTCAGAATCACAACAGACGCCGACTAACCTTGATGCAGGTAAAGACAAATCACAGACCAAATCAGACCAATCACAACACTGAATACTGCATGATTTAGAGCGCTTCAGTGTGCTGATGTGAATGACCCATGAACATTTCCTAGATAGATAAATGGATGGATGGATGGATAGATCAATTAGCATGTTGTTAAAATGATTCTAGGATGAACCAGCATTGCTAACATGTCTCTAGCATGAATTAGCTATTTATATGTACTGCTCATTTTCTTTCCAGAAGAAGCTGAGGAGATGAAGCCCTCTTCTCCTGCATCTGAACACCAAACCGCTGATCGAGAGCCTGAGGGGGGGAAAACACCTGAAGACCTCTCTTTACCTGAAATCAGCGAATGTTCAGAGTTACAAGAGATGCCGACTGAACTTTATACAGGCAAGACAAAACATGAAGAACAGCTGATGTGACGATCCACATATGTGTGTGTGCGCTCTAATCTAACCACAGAAATCTGTCACACTGGTTCATTATTACATCTGTTGAAGGATCTCAGTCTGTGTCATGAACCATTTCAACTGAGCTGATCTGCAGCAGTGTTTATAAGAGCGGCTGGTGTTCTTTAAGAAGTGCAGGATACTGTGTGTGATTTAATGACTAAACTCCATCATTTATCTTTCTGTTTTACAGATATCTCATGCATTTATGATCTGATTCGACCTCAAACATCCTGTCAACAACCTGGGTAATGTATTATATTATACTGTATTGTGTTATATTGTGTTGTGTTATATTATATTATAGTATATTATGTTTGTTGTATTGTATTATAGTATATTAAAGTATATTATAATATAGTGTTCTATAGTACAGTACAGTACAGTGTAGTATAGTGTATTAGTTAACTTGTTTGTATGATGTTTCTTTAGGCTTCCAGACGTCGAGGCCATGTTCAGAGAGTATTGGGTTTCAGACCTGACGACTGAACTGAAGATTGAAGCTGATGAGCCTGAAGAACACTCTCCTCTGGGGTAAAGACACTGTTCACTCATTTTATAGTGATAGACTCTGGAAAAGACACGATATGCGAACGACCCCTAGAAGGCCTCCATCATTTGCGAGCTCCAGTTGATCTTCTTGCACAGCCATGCTGGATTCAGCTGATTTGTTGATAAATGGGTTGCAGAGCTGTTTCTTGGCAGTTTGTGGGTCCTTCACTGAACCTTTTCCTCTTTGCAAAGAAACTTGTTAAAGACGTCTGTTTCTTACTGCTTTAGCTGCTTGTGGGGTAAATTAAAGTGCTCAAGTGGCCGAGATATAACCGAGAGAATAAGGTCATTTTTCAAAATAAAAGTTCCTTCAGACTCAGATAATAAATAAAATGGAAATAATTAATGATTTCTAGTGCAGCCCATTACCAATTGATGAACAGACTGGAACTGATACGGGTCCGCGGCCTGGTGCTTGAGGATCACTGATTTAGCAGATGCTTTAGTTTAAAGCCTTTAGACGGTTTTTAGTCGTCATCTAACCAAAACTGTTCATTTGTTTTCCTCAGCCTTCCTAATTTAGGCAACACGTGCTACATGAACTCAGTCCTGCAGTGCCTCCTGAGTATTCCCCCCTTCCAGCACGATGTGCTTCTCAGCCAGGAGGTGTGGAGAGATGAAGACATGCTGCTCAGGTACAGAGAATAAAACATGTTCTGGTTTCAATGAGTTTGGTGGAAAAACAAAACCAAAAATACCAAACAAACATGTGTTCAGCGCCAGCTCCTAATGCGCTGTACAAATCTGAGCTTTTGATTGATTCATTTAATGTCTTGTACATCCACAGAGTCGGATCTGTTGTGTTTTATTAACATCTCCAATCTCACATTTTGTATTGACTTATTAACTACACCTAATCCACACCTATAAAAACAATAACTATGGTACAGCTCACAGAAATGGACGCTTTGTATGTGAGCATGTTCAGTAGCTGAGCTGCATCCCTTCTAGCCCTAAACCAATCTACCCGGGGTGGAAGCCCCTTCCATTCTGAGGTTCTCCAAACTACCTGATACATTCTTGACTTTGTCCATCCCACAGTAATTCCTGTTATATTGTAGAGCAGCTCAGACTAACCCGGTCATCTGTTTCTCTCCAGTGTGTTTTCAGACCTGTTCATAAGCCGGCTGGACAACAGCAGCACCAACCTGAAGAAAAGGCTCTTGAGGAAAGTGAAATGCTACATTGAAAATGCCAGTAAAGTCTTCACGGGAGACTTTCAGCAGGTGAGCGCACCTTAAACCAGACTCTTCAACTAGTCTGTCATGTTAATGCTGGTACACACCTGCTTTTGCTAGACCAGCTCTAAACCTGTGTGTGTTTCTCCTCAGGATGCTCACGAGTTCCTCATGCTGTCCCTGTCCTGCCTGAAAGAGGAAGGCCAGATGCTGAAGATGTCTTCTCCCACATACACTTGCCCCGTAGCCAATATGGAGTTCAAGCTTGAAACGGAGCGCACCTGTGTCAGGTAATGACACCACACTTCCCCTTGTGCATGCCGATTTAGCATTTTATACATGCTTCAGCATTTCAGTGATGAACTTCTTTTCAATGTGGTTTCAGTTGTGGTCTCCAGAAGACATTTACTGAGGACGCAAACTACATCTCGCTGGTCCTCGGCCAGAATGCAAGCGTGTCAGACAGCCTGCAGCAGTACATGAGCGTGAGCGTCAGCGCTAATCTCAGTATACTGCATGAGCAACAACATGTCATTTCTGATGGGTTTCTTTCTTTCCTTCAGGCGTCTTCAGTTGATTGCATGTGCTGCAACTGTAACGGCACGAAGGCCTCTGTGACCCAGAGGTTTTACAGTTTCCCAAGGTACGACACATTATTGATCAGCTACTAATCTAACTCAATCACTAAACTCGAGCTGCTCTCTGATTTCTGATCTTCTGAATCCCTCTACAGAGTTCTGGTTTTGCTGGTGTCGCGCTTTGATATGCTGTCTGATTGTAAGCTGAGGAATCGACTGAAGATTACAGAAGAGTTGACGCTGTCCTCTGTTAAAGGTACGCCTGCTGTTTATTAAACATTTGAATGGGCACAATGGTTTATTTGATGACAGAAAGCGCTCAGCGGTTTATAGTTGACTGCTCGCTGTTGTATTGTATTGTGATGTGAATGTAAACAACTGCTCCAGCTTTCTGTCAGTTACTCTATTAGCATTTAATATCAATATCTTTTCATTTAATGTCATATTTTAATGAAGCTTCTAAGTTTAGGTTTGTGACTATTTTGCTAATCATTTACAAGTGTATTTGCTGCTATTACGATCTTATATTAAAGGATTTCCTGGGAAAGGGAGACAGAAAAGTTTTCCCCAACTGCTGCAAGTATTACTCCAATACTTGTTGGTTGTGGTCTTCGAATTTGGGAATTATTTGGGAATTCTGTGACCAATCTGAAGGACAATCTCAGGAAGAAAATGTACCTTTTGTGTTTGCCTTGTGTTCATCAGGAGAGATCAGAGAGCAGCCAATGTCTGATAATAAGAGACCAGCGAGCTGCCAGTCATTTCTCAAGAGAATCCTGAAGACAAACACCAAAGTTGCACCCCAGATACCCAACGACAAGGCAGAGAGCAAGCAAATCATGACTGACTGACTGCCTGACTGACTGACTGACTTACTTATTTGATTGATTGATTGATTGATGGATGGATGGATGGATAGATGGGTGGATGGATAGACAGACAGAGAGAAGGATGGATGGATGGGTAGATAAGATAAAGTACAAAGATAAAGACATGAATAAATGATAGATAGATAGATAGATAGATAGATAGATAGATAGATAGATAGATAGATAGATAGATAGATAGATAGATAGATAGATAGATAGATAGATAGATAGATAGATAGATAGATAGATAGATAGATCTATGGATGGATGGATGGATGGATGGATGGATGGATGGATGGATGGGTGGACAGGCAGACAGACAGACAGACACAGACAGATAGAGAGAAGGATGGATGGATGGATGGGTAGATAGATAGATAGACAGACAGACAGACAGACAGACAGACAGATAGAGATAGATAGATAGATAGATAGATAGATAGATAGATAGATAGATAGATAGATAGATAGATAGCACTTTTCTGTAACACTGTTGACCGTTATCTTATACTTGTTTCCCCCATCTTCTACATGTTTCCTAAACAGCAGGAAGAACCGGCCGACACCAGGGTGGAGTATAGACTCACTGGAGCAGTGTCACATTTAGGAAGCAAACTGTTTTCTGGTAGGAATTGACCACACATGTTGAATTGTCTCATTTGTTCTGTGATTGAGCAGTTGAGGGTCCACCCGGCCACAGAGTTATAGTCCAGTTTCTGTGTTACAGGACACTACATAAGTCACATTCGGGATCCAAGTGACGATGGATGGCTGCGTTGCAGTGACTTTTCCGTCAGGAAAACCAGCTGGACAGAAGCGTCCGAAGAAATAAAGAGGAACTGCTACATGCTGTTCTACATCAAGCGGTGATTAAACGCTCTGTGTTTTTAACATTCAGAATGGGCTCTGTGCACAGCTAGAGTTTTAATGTTGTATATCTAACAGGCAGTGAAGATCACAGATTTTTAAAGAAATCAGATCTTCCTTGGCGCTGCCTGGCTGAAAATTAAAAGTCTGTGTGCATACAGCCCATTTCATTCTCACTTGGTTCCGTCTCTTGCTGTGGGATAAAAACACTGAAATCCTCTGTTGTTTCTGTAGATGAGCAGCAGTTTTTAGTCCTCAGTCCTGAAGAGGTGGAGAACAGCAGACTGAGCTTCAGAAGATCAAGAGTCAGAAGATTCTGCCAGATACTTGCATCAAAACCCCCCTGAGACCTTCAGAACACACATGAAGATATTTTGGATTAAATCAGAGAGCTCCTGACCCGCATATAAAGGAAACATTCATGTTACTCCACTCTTGCTGTATATGGAGGGTCAGGGGACAGATGAATGAAAGGCTGAACAGTTTGGAACTATATGAGTGCAAGTAAATGATGACAGATTTGATGTGAACTGTAACTTGAGCACTGCAATCAATAAAAAATATTTGTCCAATCCTCGCAAACTCTGTCAATTATTTACAGAGCTCTGAACGCTCTCCTTCCAGTGCATCAGTATATAAGTGTGTCTGAAGTATTAGGAATTAGGAATTACTCACTTTCTAAACCCCTGAGGCCTTCATTTATCTTCAGAACACACTCGGTCACTTCAGAATCAGTGCAGTTACTTGCGTTATGGTGGGAAAAAAGCTTTCAGAGTAATAACATTGTGAAGGAAGTTACTTTTTGACATGCATTACAAACCGCAGTCCTGGAGGGCCAGTGTCCTGCATAGTTTAGCTCCAACTTGCTTCAACACACCTGCCTGGAAATTTTTGTATACCTAGAAAGAGCTTGATTAGCTTCAGATGTGTTTGAAAGAAATGGAGAATACATGTCAAGGACTATCCAACAGCTTTTTATTTGTATGAACCATCAATGCACACCTACAAATTAAAGTCCAAAAGTTAGATTTGTAATCCTACAATTGGACCTGGTTTTGATTAGGAAATCTGCATCAATGGATCATATTAGAGACTGTTAGACAAGAGAACTGATCTGCAGGAGGAAAAGCACATTGATGGCTGGTCTGGAATCAGTGGTTGGATTTGAAAGCCTGTTTGTGGATTTCATTGTGGATTATCGATGGCAGAATCAAGGTATGAGATGTGATTTTTATAAGCTGAAAACTAGCATAACGCTGACTTGACAGATTTGTACATGATGTGAACAAGCAGTGAGCATTTTACGACCCAAAATGGACCGTTATCTTGTACTTGTTTCTCACAATTGAAAATATGGATTTAATATATTTTCATTTTGTCAAGCCTCCTGTTGACAGGTGCTGAGAATTAGCAAGTCTGCTAAAACACTTAAACAAATGCATTTGGCTATCCAGTGTAACTGATGACCATAATAAATAAATAAGTAAATAAATAAAAAATTATATATTTGTAGGTATAGCCAGCAATATTTTAAATTAGACTAAAATTTTAAACATGCATTTTGCTGCATGTCCCTATAATGATGCATTTATCATGTTGGAATGGGGAATACAAACTCTACAAAGAATTACTATAAACATGACATGTCCCTGAATATATATGTGTGTTTGAAAATAAACTACAAGGTTACACACACACTTTAAATATTAAACCCTGCAACATATTATACGATTATAAATTTTGCAAACATTTGAGACGTCACCCACAATAGAGATATCGCTATTATTAACCGTATAAAAGGATTTACAAATGGATTATGCCGGCCAAATGCGAGAAATAAGCCATTTACAGTCAGCATTACGCGTGACGTCACTCTATTGAAACAGCAACGCCCCTTCATTGTTGTAATTATTTAATTATTTTACATTTAAACCCCAAGTTTAAATACCGCAAGGTGTATTAAATGTATGCAATATATTTGCACAATAGAACATAATATATAAACGTAGCTATATTATTTACTTGAAAAGCCCGCGAAATGACTGGCCGAGGATATAAAAGCTGGGGTCAAGGGTCAGCGCGAGCGCGCGCGTGGAAGACGTTTTCCCGACTGGATCTCGGCGTGAGGGGATTGCGCTGAGGTAAAGTTTCCATTTCAGGTCTGACAGAGATAACAGTGAGGGAAAAGTTTCTCAAAGCAATTTAACCACTGAAAGTTGCTTCGTTTTTCAATGAATCCACCATAATGTTTGCAGAAGTCATGGCTTTTAGTCTATTTGCGACCGTCCACTCGTCAACACCGGTAAAAGCCGTTAAATACCGTTAAAGGTCAGATGACTCGGATTGATACGCCCTATGCCATGATAATATTAGCGAGAGGAAAATAATATTTTTATTAATTATTATTTTAAAAATATGTAAACCTAGAAATATTACTTTGTTGAAAAGACTGGGCGAGATATCAGCTGCGGTCAGCGTGGACATTGAAGAGTGAAGTGTTTTTCTGACTGGATCTCCACATGAGAGGATTGCGCAGAGGTAAAGTTTCCATTTCAGTTCGACAGATAACATTGAGGGAAAATTTGTCTCAAAGCAATTTAACCACTGAAAGTTGCCTCGTTTTTCAGTAAATGTACTATAATGTTTGTAGACGTAATGGCTTGTGGTCTTTTTGCTACCACAAACACTGTTAAAAGCCGTTGGAAGTCTGATGTGATTTCCTCGAATAGAGCAAATGAGCTCGGATTAAATTAGATTTTATTAATTGTTATTCATTGTAAGTAAGTTAATGCGATAGTTTGCAAAGTATACATGCTTATTTTGCATTTTAAATGCCCAGAAACAAACTTTGGTAAAGCCAAAATGGCTAAATGAACTAAACAGGTTGAGCAAAAAACGGAATTTAATTTTTGAAAAGGTGTTTGAGGCTTATATATCATTAAAACAAGGCTTAATAAATAAGTAAATGCCTTTACAAATATCTGGACTAAATATATTTGAAGGAATATGGCGTCATAGAAGTTAATGTAAACTGTTTTTACTTTTTATGAAATGTTTTTTAAAAAGGTTGATTTTATTGGTAATATATTATAATGTATAATTTAACGCTTGTTAAAGACTGCTGAAAAAAGTTGTATTTTGTTGGTTTATGTCTATCAAAAAGCTTATTCAATTAGTTTTTCTATTAGCTTTTTATTTTTGAAAAAAAAAAAAAAAAACAATTGCACACGATAATGGTAAAATCTTAAAAGAAATTATTTATTTTCAGGGATGCAATTAAAACTTACGAAAATCATGTTCATAATTTGAAAATAAATATTTTTTAATATGTAAAATAATAAAATTTATTTATTATTTTATTCATTCATTCATTATCTTTTTGGCTTAGTCCCTTTATTAATTCAGGGTCGCCACAGATGAATAAACTGCCAACTTGTCCTGCATATGTTTAACACCATACATTCCCATCGCACATATACACTACGAACAAATTGGCTTACCCAATTTAGCTCTACTGCATGTCTTGGGAAAAAGTACACAGAAAAAAACCTGTGACATGCACTAACCTGCCCCTAAAGTAGTTATTTATTTTCATTAAAATAACTTTGCCTACATTAACAAGTCATGCAAACAATATCATATTTGTCATGTTCATCACAGAGCTCGAAGCTAACCTGTTTGCCTGGTACCACTGGTGCTCCTAACTGAAACATTTTAGCCGCACCAGCCAAAATTATGTCACATCCACCAAAAATGATGAGCGCTGTTACCACATCTTTTATATTTACAGATTTATTGCATTTGAAATTAACATTAATCACAACTAACAAAAAAATTGCAATCGCTCACCGGCCTTGCACACACGGCTTGACGTGAATGAGGTGAACTGAGTTAACGATAACTGTGATGTGCAATAGCATGCATTCACAGAGATAAACTAATATTGCAGCTCATGAAAAGACCGGTATTGCTATTAAGATGACCTGTGCAAACAGTAAGTTATATGACAATATCAGACACCACCTGTGAGAACAGCACAGTTATTATTGTTAATTCAGTTCATCTCGATTATGTCAAGCAGTGTGTGCAGGGTCGGTGAGCACATGCAGATTTTGCTTGTTTGTTAGTTTCTGTTAAACATGTTAGTATAAAACTTGTAGGAATGATGCTAATTTTTTTGGCTGGAGCTCCTAAACTTTTGAAGTTAGGACCACCAGTTCTACCAAGCAAAAAGGTATGCATGCATGTGTGTGTATTAGAGCTGCACAATTCTGGCTAAAATGAGAATCACGTTTTTTTTAGCTTAAAATAAAGATCACGATTTTCTCTCGATTCTGTAGATATAAAATAAAGGTATGGTTAAAAACAAACATGGCACAACATCGATGATATTATTATGTATAGGTCTACTGGTTTCTACAAGCAATTCTATTCTACTTATAATAATTCTGATGTTGAGTTATTATGTTTGAAATATATGCTTGCAATCTGTCATTGACAACATTATTAGACCATTTAATTCACTGGTAAAATCAGACATTTGTCATTCTCTAAAATGCGATATGATCATTTAAATGAAGTGCACACTTTCGGTTTCATTTTAACTGCTAAGTTAACTTCTTCGCGCGCGGCTCCCAAACTATCACTCTGTGCCACAAATTGAATATTATTTACAACTTTATTACCTGTAACTCACAACATTTGCAGGTTCTGTTCACTACAGTAGATGCACGCGCGTCTATCATTAGGTAGAGCGCACGCCCGCCCTTTCTGTGATAAGTTCACCGTCAGCAGCTCACGTCACGTGTGATTTCCCGATCGACAAAACATCATTATATGAAGACAGAAATGACATTTTTATGTGAATTATACCTTATAAATACTCATTCAACATCATTTGGAGGTGTCCATGTCACTGAGCAACATTTGTGAAACAATGAAAAGACTCATGCAGCCGCCTTTTCGTCTCTCCTGACTTTGAAAATATGATTGACAGAATCGTAGAAATGCTATATTGGACGTCTATGGGTCGAATCGAGATCGCCATCTTTTTACGATTAATTGTGCAGCTCTAGTGTGTCTGTGTGTATATATATATATATATATATATTAAGAGTGCCACGATCCTCCAAATCCTCGATTCGATTACAAACGGTTCGTTCCGATTTTTGATTATGAATAATTAATTAGTTAATAACGAATCAATTATTTGTAGCCTACCGTTTAAACTACCTGACATGCATGGTCTTTGTTTTACCCATAAACAAATCATGCAGTAAATTAATAAAGGCAAGTTACACACATAGTTACCACCTGTCAATCACTTTTTCAGCGGGACTCCTGAATAGGCAGAGATCTGTGTCGTTATTATGGCGTCGGTAAAAAAAGACGCACAGCCAACAGTATCTGAGGTGTTCGCTAAAATGACTAAGTACAAGTGAGTGAAAGATTGAAGTAGTCTACTGACCCTCTGACTGCCTGGACCGAGTGCATGACTGTGTGTGCGTCTGTGTCTTTATGTGAATGAGTGTGTGTGGTCACGTGCGTTTTCAGCGGTAGAGAGGAAGGAGGGCTGCTCAGAAATGCTACATGCCACTGTGGATGTGGATCGTTGTCGTTCTATAATGCCATTTAAAAACAAAGACCTATAAGTGTAAACAGGGCCTGAGTGTGTACTTTTCGCGAGCGGATTAGCAACGGAGGCGGGGTGGAGGATCGCGAAGCCGGTGTTGTCTATCGGACGAAACCTAATACGTACATAGCAGAGCTTGCAAACTGTGTTTTTTTTTTTTTGTCAACAACACAAACGTTGTCAACATAACTCACTGGAAATCCAAAATGCTTACACACCCTGACTTTATTGAAAGAGGAGAGGGTTTAAGCTCTGTCGACAGGTCTCCTGCATCTGCATTTGATAAGTTTTGTTTTTTATAGGGAACCCACAGTTATGCATGAAAATTAATGTTTACAGTGTCAGTATAAGTACTCTAGTCTATATACTGTATTGTTGAATATTATCTGATAATGGCAAATGTCTGATTTTACCAGTGAATAAATTTGTCTAATATGACAGATAGCAAGCATATATCTCAAACATAATAATTTAATTATTATCGATGTTGTGCCATATGTTTGTTTTTACCATACCTTTATTTTACATCTACAGAATCATGAGAAAATTGTGATCTTTATTTAATGCAAAAAATTTCCGATTCTCATTTTAGCCAGAATTGTGCAGCTCTACTATCTAGTGTGCATCTTTTCAGCAATAAGTACCCATATTTCAGCAATGTGATCTTATTCCTGTGATTCTATTTGGGCTATTTTTGGTCCATCTTGGGTTAAATTTAGACCACATCACAAAGACTAAATTAAGCTGCACTTATTTTGGGCTAAAAGCAACCTTTAAAGGCCAATCAGATTTAGCCCACGTAACAGCAACGTGTATAAATGTCTGGTTCTGTCTGGTTTTATTTGATGGTTTGCTCAATCTTTTTAGTTGTTTTAATGATAATACAGACCTTTATGTTGGGCTTTAAATGTAACAAAACTGAAATGTAAAGGCGAGTTTAATGTTATGTAGAGGAAGAATGGCCATCTGTTTTAGCAGAGGAGATTAAATTAAGCCAAAAATGTTGTTTCCTGCTATGATTAAATAAAAAATGGTTCATATTATATTTTATGAATGTAAGTAATTAATTTAGATTTGTTTACTTTTTTGTTTGTTTTATTTACTTTAAATTTAGCTTTAAATTAATTATTAATATTAATAACTATATTATTATTAATACAATTATTGATTTATTTTATTATTTTTAACATTTCTTTAAATGATGAAAGCTTGTTTACTGTGATGTTATAAATTAGGGTAAGGTTTTAAAGAGTTAATGCTCACCATCAGTTTACTCTGTATATTTTCATTTTGATTTGCAGCAAAAGAGAATCAAAGTACACAGAAAAACACCCGAGACATGAACTAATCTGTCCAAAAATATGCTTTATTATAATCATAAAAACAAAGATCAAAAGTATTTAAGTTTTTTTGTGAGTCTAGATTAAAAAGTCATGCAAACAGTATCATAAATGTATCATAACAGTATCATAAATGTTTTATATTTATCAGAGAGAAATCTGAAAAAAAAACAGCGCATCAAAATATATTACTGTGTTAGAAACTACAAACCTTTATTTAAAAATTATATTTAACAACAAAATGCCCAAATACACTATTTAGAATATTGTAAAGCTGAGTTGAGTGCTGCCTGTAGAAAATGATTAAATGTTTGAAAAATGTAAGTATTTGCTAATCTGCGCCTCTGATAATTCGGTGTATTATTGTCATGGGCAGTTTCTGAAGCAAAGCGAGCGCTGGTGTTCATCTCTTCTGGTGTCTGTTTTCATCACTGCACTCAGAAACCTTTAAATGGATCATGCAGATTAATGCAGTTAATGTCAATAACACTGATTATTTACAGTTTTACACTCAGGATTAACCACTGATCCTCACTAATAACTGAACTGACTTTTAGAACCCACATACAAAACTAAATTATTATTATTATGTTTTATTCTTCTTCTTCCTAAAGGATTGAGCATAAGTTGCATCAACTTCAGCATCAGCACCTCAAAAATTGTTATAATAACGAGTGATATAATTAAGACTCATTTTTTTAATAAGTATAAATTGCTTTTATATTTTTATATAACTAATCAGGCTCAGGCTGTGCAGGATCTTTAAAGGGCCATGAAACCCCCCTCTTTCAGTTCAAGTATACCTCAGAAATGTTTAAAAAAAAAGGGGGTGGAGCTCTGCGAACAGAGGGAAGAGTGGGCGTGGCCGGCAGAGCACTCGTACTTTCATATACATATAACCACAAACTATACATTTCGAAAATGAAGCGTGGCCACGACTGGAAAACAGTGTTTTAATGCATCGCTCATCACTTCAGTAGGAAGTGTGAATTAATTTAGCTAAACTGCGACATGCTCATCTTGCAGAAATATTACCAACGATCAATCAAGTAATGTTTCCCCCCTCTGACTCTCTGTTGGTAAAGCGCTGTCAACAAATATTTGTCCTCCATATCCCATAATGCACAGAGCATCGGCCTACGGCAGCTGGATTAGTCCAAAAGGCGCAGTACTTTATGCGGTTGGACCTGATTTAGTACGGATCATATTCTCACCACAAACGAACTGCTCCAGGGTTTGTTTAAAAGCGTACCGAGAGCACCTCTTCAAGCAGGTCTTGGTACGCTTAATTGGTCCGCTTTTGGTGCGCACTCGAGTACGATTGCTGCATTCTCACCTGCCCAAACGAACCGCACCAAGAGGGAAAACGAACTCTAGTGTGATTCAAACGAACTAAATAAGGCAGGTGTGAAAGCACCCTTAAACATTATTTTAAACACGGAAGATTAAATTACTGACAAGCTCAAAATTATCCAGTTTTCCCCACAATTAAAGCTGACTGGTGCTGATGTTGTTCAACACACACAAATCTGTTGAAATCTCAAAAATACTGCTCCAGGGTGTCTCAAACCTTCAATATGTTTATAATGGTGTGTTTAAAACACGAACAGTAATTTATCATCAATAGCAGCAGTTCTTTGTGTTTCTCTCACCTCTGTCTGTGTTTTGCTTCACTTCAGAGTATAAAGTGTCTCCAGACTCGCTGCTCTGCCCTGATAGTGAACAACAGACAGAGAATGAATTAATAAAGAGCATCCAGACAGAATTCACAGCTTCAATTTTTTTTTTACTTTGTATTATGTTCTTTTATTCTAAAATGTATTGAATTCTTCCAAATTCCACAAGCAACCCCCATATAATAGCAATGTTAAATAAGTTTATTATTATTGTTTAGTAAAAAAATGTATAGTTGCTTTTATTTTTTATTGCAGTTTCTGTTGAAATTTTTCACTTTAAAAGTATTTTGACATGATCTGCAGTGAACTGATGACAGCACATCAGAGCATCTGCTATTTACCGCTGCGTTTCTCCTTGGATTTCATTTTAATCAGAACATCAGCAAGTCCAAAACCTGAAATAGAAAAACAAGAGCTTGATTATTAATCATTAAATCCCACACAGATGCTGTTTTGCAGAATAAAGTGTGATTTGTGTCTGTCAGTGCTGTTAGTGATTATAAAGTGTTTCTTAATATTAAATTAAATCATAACATCAGTAAACACAAATCATCAAGACTAGATGCAGTGCGTTTTACCTTTGCTCTTGGTTTTCTTTTCATCCTTCATGTTGATCTCTGTATAAATCAAATCACTGGGTCCTGCAGAATTAATATCTGACACAGAAAATCAAGCAGGATATTCAGAACATGATGCAATTATTATACTTCAGAAAAAAACTAAACAGGACATCACCTTTCTTCATGTTTTTCCTGATTTTTGAGTATGTCACATTAGTTGACTCTGGCATGGTGTCTGCTGCAGAAATAACAATGAATTAATTAGTGAATAATGTGTTATTTTAGTTTAATTCCTCATCAGTGTTATTGTTCAAGACTGATGACTCCATGTGTACAGAAGAGGATTTTCACCTTTATCCATGGATTTCTTTTTCTTAACAGTGACCTCTGAATATGTCACATCTGACACTGGCTCTAAAACAAACAACATGAACAAATTGTGTATTAGTAATAATAGATATACAAAGTGAGAGGTCAAAAAGACCAAAGGTCACAGTTAAAACTATATTGGATCAAACTAACATATTGTGTGAACAAAACAATATGTGTTTGCTAATAAAACTGATAGGGCTGCAACAACAAATCAATTAAAAATGTTACTAAAACTTATTACTAAAAGAGTTAACAATGAATTTCACTATCGATTTGTTGCGTTGTGCAACGCGGGGACGTTTGATTATTTAAAAAAAAATCACTTTAGTTGAGCGCGGAGCAGAGTGAACACAGCCTCTCTCACACACTGATACAGAGTTCGGTGCCTCATAGAAAGGGATGAGAAGGAAGGGAGTTCAACAGCAGGTAAATCACTACAGAATCTTGTGTTCGTTTTGAAGTGAGAACTGTAAAGTGCCTGGTGCTGGTGTTTTACTCGTTATCAGGCTTGACAAGCATACAGTTAGAGTTAGCTTGTTAACTCTTACGCCTCTTTCACACTGCAAGCGAAAGCAGAGCGTGAGCAGCACGTGAACAGCAGCTGCACAGATCAATAAATCTCTGTCTATTCTATCTAGTTACCTATCTTACTGTTTATATACAAAAACAACTTCCTCCTATGCTGTTTCTTTAACCTGCAAGTCTTTATTTTACAAATTATATAGGTCATACAGTACTGTACAGTACCTCTCAAGCTCTATGAGCAGTTTTATTAATGTCTGGTGCACTCAGAAGACAATCGCCTGTGATATCAAGTCATTTTGTTTTTGATTGTCAGCATGTTTTAGGCCTAGTTACAATAATATTTATACATATAATATTTAAAATAGCAAAATAAACACAGCGCTGAAACTGTTGTGACACTGCTTTTAACACGCTGCTTCTGGGTGCCATATGAAAGCTCTCATCGGTTAACATGGACGCTGAAAAAACACAAACTGCTCATGTTCTGCTCACGCGTTGCTTGCGCTTGCAGTGTGAAACAGGCTTTAGAGCGGCAGCTGAAAAAAATCAAACTGAGCTTTGCCCTGTTGGCTGGCGCTGAGCCAAAGAAAGATGTGTCATATTATCACAGTTATGCAATGTTTACCCGCCTAATGCTTATTTTATATTTTAGACAAGTGAATGCTCACAAGTACTAGTAAAACAAAACATTGAGTTTTTAAAACACACAAGGAAGTCTAACAATCCATTCTAATAGAATTTGCCGATGTGTTTTATTCATATCAGATACACATAGTGAAGTAACTATAAAGTTCAATCTATTCTTCTCTAAGTTCACCAGCCACTTTCTTGCATGTATTTTGGGAGTAACTTATGAATTTACGTGCTGAATCCTGCGTGTTCTGCTTTTATAAATGAGGCAAACGTGCTGCCACAAGAAGAACATTGAAGAACTAATCGACAGATTAATCAATTGTTCAAATATTCATTAGTTGCAGCCCTAAAATCTGACCTGACTGTAGAGGAACGTTTTCCAGTTGAGATTCTCCAGATCGAGTTGGAACTGGGGTGCTGGTTTGTTGATTGTTGTGGTGCTGATCTACAGTAGAAATTAATATCATTATTAATGAATTTTCACTTGCATATATCTGATTACATGCATTCATATTATTGATCATGTTCTGAACTCCTCACACCTCTTTTCTTGTGTCTCAGCAGCAGAACCAGTAAGATGAGGAGCAGCAGGAAAACAGTCAATCCCACAGAAACACCAACGACCAGAAGAGGAGATGAAGATGAAGCTGAGGAGAGAAGATGACAGACCTGTTCATCAACCACATGCTGTATGATAATATTACAGAGGTAAATAATCTCTCATTATTCCCAGACCTCTGACTGAGATCCAGCTGTGCGGCGACTCTCTGCTCTTTGTTTTACAGTAGTAGAAACCCTCATCAGACTTTGAGACAGTAGGGATGCTCATCTCTCCTGTCGTCTGATTCTGGATCAGTGATCCGTCTTTATAGAAATCAGCTGTGAGGATGGAGGAGATTGTAGATCGATGTAAACAGTGTAGAGTCAGAGTTTCTCCCTCAATCACAGGATCAGCAGAACTCTCCAGAATCACAGCACCACCTACACAACACAACACAACACACATCTGTTTAGTCTCAATATATGACTAAACTGTTCATATCTGCAGTCTCATGTAGTCCAATTGTGGCTATAAACACACGCCTGCATTTGTTACCAATTTAACAAAATGTAAAAATGAACTTGATACTAATCAATCAATCAATCAATTAATTGATCAACTTTCAACAACAGCAGCAACTGTCAACATTGTTTGGCCAATTGTTTTTTCGTGCACCTTTGACTGCAGATTAGAGCAAAAAAGAGGGAAAAAAATCAGTTCCTCTGACTAGAGAGAGCCATCATTACTCCACCACAGTATTTTTTTATTACTCTACATTTAGAGTATGCTTTGTTGATGTTGTACATATGTGTACTATATATATATATATGTGTGTGTGTGTGTGTGTGTGTGTGTGTGTGTGTGTGTGTGTGTGTGAGCAATTCCATGAAAATGTCAACCTTACCATGAAAAAATAAACTTTTGACCAAAATAACAAAACCTATTTCAATTTGCTTATTAAGGTCTATATTTTATTGGAATGATGTGCTCTTGTTGATTTTTAAAGGAAATTGGTTTGTTTATCCATGAAATATGAGGATTGTGCCAATGGTAAATTTCATTATCATCCAACCACTTTTCGTGCTTTCAAAAAAGGGGTTAAAGACTCACCTTTTCCATGCTTTGTTAACAGTAATTATTCTGCAGAAGGATTGGAGTCTGTAGTATAAATAATAACCCTTACTTATTCATAGCATTACTACCTTTTTAATTTATGAGCTACATATTTAAGACATCACGCAGCTTCGGTCACGTGTCACGTCCGTAACGATTTAATGAAAAAGTTTATATTGTGGAATAAATATTATAAAAAATAAAATGAAACTTTGTATACAAAGCCAAAATATGTCCATACTAATTATGATCGCCAACTCATCTCAGGTCTTTGCTCTAAACAACCACAAATTTGCGTTACGGACGTGACCATTTTTGAACTCCTTATTAATATAAGCCAATGACTAGCACATATTTGTTCATTAAGATGCTGCATTACAATTACTGACTTACATTAAATAACATCCATATGTTATATCAAGAACTGAACATTTCACTGAACTATAAACCACTTTAGTAACATCTCAGAAATAAATGTTTTATAAAGAGAACAACATTTTACATATTGCCATAATTGGTGCATAATCTTGGTTTTGGCGATGCAGCACCTTGTGTTGAAGCACTTCTTGTTTCTTTTGTAGATAGGGTAATTGACCGTCAAATAATAGATCAAATAGTTAAGATACAATTTATGCCAAACTAGGAATGCTGATTTCGATTCATTTTGCCAACCAACAACCGCTGGTTAACCGAAAATTAACCGTTAACAGATTAATATCAAAATATTAATTAATTAAAAAAAATTGACGTGCCTATTTTGTCTGACACATTAAATATTGCATTTTGAAATACTGATTTAGGTTATTTTAACATGCGAACAGCATACAGAACGAGCACGCACCTGCAGTGTTTTTTAGCAGCCTAGAAAAACTGAATAAACTAACAAATAAATAAATAAATAAATAAATCCTGTTCTAGATCTTTTTTCACTTAAATGACAAATTAAGATTAAAAACGAAAACATTAACTGAATCATTTAAGAACAGGCATAGGCTGTTTGTCCAATTGTGTTTTTTATTTCCCGTCAATTAAATATTAGGCTACCTCAAATAGATTGCTTTACGGAAAAAAATGCATTCAATTAATGCTCCGCTGTTATAATATTACAAAATCAGTCAACATTTTTAATAGAAGTCATTAGTTTAAAGATTATGTCTTAATTATGATTATGACTTAACCTACTTCCTCTGTCTTACTTGCGGTTCATGTGCGCGCGCTGCCTATAGTGAAAGATTATGACAATTAACCATGAGGCTTTGAACCTATACATTTTTAAAGTATAGGCTAAGCATATAACAGTTTTGTTATTTACATGTGATACTGCATTAATTTGCATACATGTTTTATAAGCTGTAAAATGAAAGCATCAGTTTGGTGTGACGTTATCATAAAATATTTGTATTTGTTTGATTTGTAGATTAGGCTATTTAAAATGTACATAAGAACTATTAATAACTGTTATTTTCCAAATGGAAAAAGGCTGGTTTGTTGATTGTAGTCTGCACTAGGGTTGTAACGGTATGAATTTTTTACGGTATGATAATCGTCTAAAACAATACCACGGTTTGACGGTTTCGCGGTATACGGTATGTTACAAATGTTACAAAATAATAGAACAGTGAAGCAAATTTGACTTTTTCCAAATAATATATTTTTAGTTACTATAAACAACACCACTTACAATGAACAAATAAAAAAATAAGAAAATAATAAATAATGTGTCAAAGTCCAAATAAAGTCCAAATAAATATGGTGCAAATCCTCAGTAAAAAATAGATATAAATATTTACTATACTATAAATAGTTACATAACGAAACTAGATTCAATATGGAACATCCTTAGGTTTTATGTGCCAGCATGGATATGGTTGTCTGTGGATATGGATTTGGATATGGTTGTCTGCAATGCAGGTGCAAACAGGTGCACCTTCATTTACGTCTTTTGAAAACAGCAAGAGCAGCAGTTCGTCTTTGCTGTGTCACTGTTTTGTCATGTTTCTGTGCTGCTGTGCATGCAAAAGTACTTAGTATGAGAATTATTTCATGCAAAACTTTTTTTTTGCGTTTTATTTAGCCGCGCATAAATGTATGCCTTTCTCTCATTCCGTGTTGTTCAAAAAGCTCATTGTTGGTCCACAAACAAAAGTGAAACCTATGCTTATTGGTTGTGATATAGCGAGTTTGAACCAATCTGGGCATGGAGGAGGGACAATGCATCAATGTATCATTTGTCAAATCAGCGTTGTCAAATTTTGATGACGTAACCGCACTGATTCCGGAGCCTCTGAAAGTCCGCGAATGTTATGTGAGACAGCACTGGAAAGCTGAGATTCTCTTCTTTATGCCAATCTTTGAATTGTATGAATCGGATCAGCGGATCAAAAGTTATTAAACATTTAAGAGCAATACTTATTTTAGCCGCGGGCTGTCTCGGTCTTTAAGGTTTAAAACCGTTGATATGCAATTGTTCATGGTATGATAATCGTGCACGTTCAAATCATGGTAAACCGTCATACCGGTATATTGTTACAACCCTAGTCTGCACTAATTCATGAATATGCCTAATTGAGTTTATGACGCGGCTCCAGGCAGCACAGACGACCAGGATCAGCGCTGGTTCGTCAACTCCTGTGTCAAACTTTGGCCAGAATATCCTTCTTTCATTTTGCTTTGGCAAAAAAACATCTGTAAGCACGTGTGTTTGAACATGTTACTGTCCTTCGAGTTAACAAATATGTGTTGCTCATAGAAGCCGATAACAACGAACGCGCTTTTTCATTCCAGAGACGTGAAGCGCACCGCAATGCATTTTATGTTGACAAGAAGAAAAGGAGCGCGGTGCTCTTTTGAATGTCACTATAGGGAACAACTGAATCAGCTGGTCTATTGTGCGCGAGTGTTGCTGTCAATGTTTTTATAATTGAATTTTTTAAATAACATTATGAAATTCAAGATTTGTAAAGTCATACAACTTTGGATGACTTAAAACAGCGACCACAAGTCTCTCCGTCATTAAAAAGTTCGCCGTAGTCATCGTGACAATACACTGCTGTCACCTCTAAGGAAACCTCGCCTCTGCTTTCATTTGATTGAAGAATGAAAGACGCCACTGAGGTAACATGCTTTTCTTCTGGAGCGCACAAAGCGCGCAATGACAAAATGCGAGGCGCACAGGGCGCATAATCAATAACCTCCATGCATTTGGTCTTTTAATATCATATTGATAAATATGTTTTTTATTTTATTAATTAAATAACTATTTATAAAGATAAATTATCAAAGCGACACAATTCATTTTCCAAGCCCTTTATCCAAAATCTAGCACTATCAAAGCTTGAAAATAGGCTATAGCCTACATTAAAATGAAAACATTTTCAAATACTTCCAGCACCTGGCAAATGCGCTTGAGTGCTTATTAAAATTTTTACAGGTGGCAAAATAAGAATAAAATCTTGATATTGATGTAAGCTTTAACTACATTATAGGAGTATTAAATTTGTTAGAAAATCGATAGGACCTGCAGCTGTAAATATTTAATTCAATATTTTACACAATCGGTTATGAACTATAGCCTAAAAATATAAACATTATAGTCTTCCATCATACATGCCTACAACCAATGACTATTTTTATATGCTTGTTTAACATAGCCTACACAAAACCTTTCATAATAAAGTCTCTCTCACCCTGGTCCTCTATGAACTTTTTGCAACCTGTCCTGAAGTGATTGCCGTCGAAAAAAAGAAAGCAAGCGCGAGTGGAGAAATTAAATTATTTATTCCATCAACTAACACATTAACTAGAATAAACAAAAATAAACTGTCAAATATAATATTGCCATATCGGTGATAAAACTAGACTTTAAATATTCTCCACGTAGACACGGTCTTGTGCAACAGTCGGGCAATGATTTAATTCAAGTTTGTCTGGAAACACTAACTTTAGGAGCCCGATAAACATAGGCCTATTATAGCTGATTATGTTTATTATCAATTCTATATTATTCAGAGTATAAAAGCACCATGTTAGCAGGCAACATTGTTTCCGAATTGAGTTTTGAACATTCGAACGTGCGTTAACCTTTAACAACACACATGCCATAATACGAATTGATTTATAACAAGGTGATATCTATTAAAGTTTGATAAATTGTGCAACCTTACAATTCAGATGTCTCAGAGGTTAAAGTTTATTGGTTTACACGCCCAACAGATATCCACAAATAGATCTTTGGTAAAGTTTTTAAAGCATTTATCTGATTTTCATAATGTGTCAACTGTGAATTTCAGAGCAGTCACGTCCGTAACGAAGACAAGTCACGTCCGTAACGATAGTTTTTCCTCATTAATGCAAAAATGAAAAACTAAATAAAATGAATTATAAATGTCCCATGCAGAGCCAACCCTTATCCTTTTGACTGTTATATTTTTTTGGCTTCTGCATTTTTATTCACAGAATTTTCACAAAGTATGTCAACTCGCAAAACTTATGTCTTTTTTTTGTCACGTCCGTAACGCATTCATTTTGCCGTCATTTTAAATATAAAACACCTGCATAGACTGATATTTTTTTGATGCCTGAATTTCATGGTTAAGGGGGTAAGAAAAATATAAACATATATTTCAATGTACTGTTAACATGTACCTTCTCTGAGAATATACGTTTCATTTTTTTACTGCAAAAGTCACGTCCATAACGCTGATTTTATTTATTTATATATATATATATATATATATATATATATATATATATATATATATATATATATATATATATATATGTGTGTGTGTGTGTGTGTGTGTGTGTGTGTGTGTGTGTGTGTGTGTGTGTGTATATATACTGTTGTATAGATACTGAGTTTAAAAGCAGGACTCACCATGTACAGTGATGTTCAGAGGATGGCGTTTCTCTCCAGATTCAGACTCACACCAGTAAACTCCAGTGTCAGATGTGCTGAGAGACTGGATTCCACATGTAGATCCTGTTTGTGCTGAACAATCTTGTGTGTTTGCGTGTGTGTATCTTCTCACTGTCCATCCAGCAGAGTCACAGCTCAGAGAGAGAGAGTCAGAGGAGAAGTGTTGACTTCTGCTGGGCCTGAGCACCAGACGCACTGAAGCAGAAACACCTGAGACAGAGAGCAAACGCAGACAAATATACTGCTGCTGTCACTGACATAAACCTACTGGCACATTCGAGATCAACAACAGCTCTGACAGCTGCTGAAAGCTGATTTCCCTCACCAGTGACCCACAGTGGCTGTGCGCTGCTGTTCTGTGAGGAATAGGCTGGTTCTCCTCTCTCTGCTCTGCACGTATAAACTCCTGTGTGCTGTAGAGCAGCAGGACTGAGAGTGTAAGAGCCTCCAGCTCCTCTGCTGCTGTCTGACAGATGATCAGCATCTCTGAACCAGCTGAACGTCCAGCCTGTAGAGGAGCCTGGAACCTCACAGATCAGAGTCACCGAGTGTCCTTCAGTGAGCCACGGCTGTGGAGACACTCGCACTGCTGCCTGAGCTTCATCTGAACCAAACATGAGGAGTTACAGAGCCATAGAGGAGCAGATACAGACTCTGATAATACTGAACACACACACACACACACACTCACCTGAAGACACAGTCAGAGCAACAGCATCACTGCGCTGAGAGATCTGAGTGTCCATCTGTCCTGTACAGCTGTATTTACCACGGTGAAAGACCTCAACACGGCTGATCTTCAACTCTTGTGTTGAGCTTCGGCTCACAGTGTTTTTATGTTGGTTATTCTGGTTATAGTTATAGTGGTTATGTTGGCCTGTTTGCTCTATTTGCCATCTGTATGTCCACTCAGTGTTTCCTCTCCACTTTATATCACATCTGAGAGTGACTGTTTCTCCTCTGAACACATGTTCATCAGGCCGCACCGTCACCACAGCTTTAGGACTCTCTGTACAAACACAGAATAATGTGTTTAGTGTTGATTGAGAGTTGTAGAAGTGCTGTAGATATACAGATATACTGGATCACACACTGTGTTTTCTCTCACCTGTAACACTGAGTGTCAGTTCATCACTGTATTGTGTGTAATAGACTGGTTCTCCTCTTCCAGCTCTACACCAGTACTGGCCTCCATCAGACACTGAATCAATCTTCATGCTGTAGGAGTTTGTTCTTGTCGTCTTTATCTCAGAGTCTTGTGTGTTTTTGTACCAGTAAAAGTCCCATCCGGTGGACAGATCAGTGTTACAGGTCAAAGTCACTGTATTTCCAGTCAGAGCAGTTCCTGCAGGATCTGATCGGAGTTCAGGCTTTGGCTTTAAATCTGCAGGAGAACGAGAACAGATTCAGATCCTCAAAAGTCAGAGTTCATCTGCAGTAAAACCGGTTCAAATCTGCAGTCAGCACATCATTGGGTAATGGTCTGAGATGTATATGAATCTGAACATCATGACTGAAAGTGATTTGCTTAATAATTCTAATAACCCAGAATAGACCCAGTTCAGTGTAGAATTCAGATTCAGTAAATGAGTGTATTTTAATTTTAAACACATTAGACGGTGGATTGGAAGAACATGTATGGTGCTTTATAAAAATACAGTTTCTTTACTGGATATGTGATCATAGAGAACGTTTATAAGGACAATAATATTGAACTCACCCTTCACTGAGAGAGAAACAGCAGAGCTTGATTGTGATGAGTTTGGTCTTCCAGATCTCTGTCCTTTACACCAGTACTGACCCTGATCAGACTCAGCAGCTCCTCTGATAGTGAGAGTTTGAAGCTTAGAGACCTGTAACACACTCTTTCTGTGTGTGTCTTTATACCACTCATATCTCCAGTTACTGTAGTAAGGTGTTATCTCACACTTCAGCTTGACTGTCTCTCCAGTGAATACAGCACTGTCTGGTGTCACAGTCACTGTAGATCTGGGTAAAGCTGAGGAGAGAGACAGAAGCATAAAGTGACTTAATCAGCTGTTTCAGTGAAAATAACAGTAGTGTGTAAATTATTCAAATCTTGTATAGTTTGTACATTTGTGATAATGTTTGTTTTCTTGTGTGTTGTCATTAGTTTGTTCCTGTCAGTGTTTTCTGGTTTTCAAACACCTCTGACTCTCCACAGAAAGCAGAATGAAGGAGAGCTGAAGACCTCCAACTACAAGCTGATATGAGGAGCAGCTGAATCTGAATGAGCTTCAACACACTGAAGACTTCAGCAACTCATTCAACAGCAGCATCTGTAAGTCTCTTCATTCTCTTCATCATCTAAACTCCTCTTTACTGAACTTGTTCACTCTCATAATAATCATAAGTATAACCTTCAACTAGGCAAATATTAGCTTTCTTTAAATTTTTTGTTTCTGCATGTTTTATATTATTCATGCATGTGCATATATATGTGCTTTTACCATTATTTTGGGTTTAACACTGAAAATTTTGGTTAATTTTAAACAATATTATAAATATTTATGTAAATCATAAGGTTGCTATTGCAGCTTTACATTTCACATGTCATGAAAGTTCCCAAGTCTTAACACCACGGCAGAAAGACAAACAGAAAACAACATAAAAATATAGCTGCAAGCAGCAATTAAGGGGCCAAGCACTATTGGCCATAAGGTGGCGCTGCTCCAGACGTTTTTGAGTACTTTCAGGGCATGGGGTTGAAGATGCATACCATGTTTTGTAATGATATGTGAATGTGTTGGTAAAATATTGCATTTTTGGCCAAAAATCGAAATGGGCGACGCCCAAAATGGCTGACCTGTGAAAATCAGACATCATTCGACTCGGCATGCTCTGCCGGATGTAATGAGACCAGTTTCATGAGTTTCGGACGAAAGGTTGAGACGTTATAAGCCAAAAAGCAAGTTTTTTGTATCTCCGGACCACTAGAGGGCAGTGCGCCGAAACTCCGCAATTAACCTTAGACCCTAGTTGTCATAACACACACCAAGTTTGGTGTGAATTGGTGAATGCGTTACGGAGATATCGTCTCAAGTCCATTTTTGCAAGTTCTACGTTAAATTAGTTCGCAAGTTAAACGAAAACGGTTGGTCTAATCAACTTGAATTCCATAACTTTTGGTTGGCATGGTCTGTAGATCATGTGATTCAATTTGGGTGATAATCGGAGAAACGGCCTAGGACGAGTTCGATCAAATAGGTTTTTCGAATAATTTAAAATAACGCGAAAAAATTCATGACGGAAAATGACGTCATAGGGTGCGTTTGAATCGGACTGATCCAAGGAATCAATGGGAAAAAGAATTTTGATTGTAGCCCATTTGGTTCAAAAGTTATCATGATAAACATACATGAACATTTGGACAAGTGGTGGCGCTAGAGAGTTTGATTTTGAGACTTCATATTTGGTATGATTAATGTTAATACTGTCCTCTATCATTGTGCCAGATGCTTACCATGTTTTGTAATGATATGTGAATATGTTGGTAAAATATAGCATTTTTGGCCAAAAATCGAAATGGGCGACGCCCAAAATGGCTGACCTGTGAAAATCAGACATCATTCGACTTGACATGCTCTGCCGGATGTAATGAGACCAGTTTTATGAGTTTCGGACGAAAGGTTGAGATGTTATAAGCCAAAAAGCAAGTTTTTTGTATCTCCGGACCACTAGGGGGCAGTGTGCCGAAACTCCGCAATTAACCTTAGACCCTAGTTGTCATAACACACACCAAGTTTGGTGTGAATCGGTGAATGCATTACAGAGATATCGCCTCAAGTCCATTTTCGCAAGTTCTTCGTTAAATTAGTTCGCAAGTTAAACAAAAACGGTTGGTCTAATCAACTTGAATTCCATAACTTTTGGTTGGCATGGTCTGTAGATCATGTGATTCAATTTTGGTGAAAATCGGAGACACGGCCTAGGACGAGTTCGATCAAATAGGTTTTTCGAAAAATTTAAAATAGCGCGAAAAAATTCATGACGGAAAATGACGTCATAGGGTGGGCTTGAATCGGACTGAGCCAAGGAATCAGAGGAAAAAAGAATTTTGATTGTAGCCCATTCGGTTCAAAAGTTATGATGATAAACATACGTGAAAGTTTGGACAAGTGGTGGCGCTAGAGAGTTTGATTTTGAGACTTCATGTTTGGTCTGATTAATGTTAATACTGGCCTCTATCATTGTGCCAAATTATACAACTTTCCCGCATACGCCTATATGGGCTGCCATTCAAATCCGGCGGAAGAAACGGAAGAAGAAGAATAATAATAATAATAATAAATATAGCTGCAAGCAGCAATTAAGGGGCCAAGCACTATTGGCCATAAGGTGGCGCTGCTCCAGACGTTTTTGAGTACTTTCAGGGCATGGGGTTGAAGATGCATACCATGTTTTGTAATGATATGTGAATGTGTTGGTAAAATATAGCATTTTTGGCCAAAAATCGAAATGGGCGACGCCCAAAATGGCTGACCTGTGAAAATCAGACATCATTCGACTTGGCATGCTCTGCCGGATGTAATGAGACCAGTTTCATGAGTTTCGGACGAAAGGTTGAGACGTTATAAGCCAAAAAGCAAGTTTTTAGTATCTCCGGACCACTAGGGGGCAGTGCGCCGAAACTCCGCAATTAACCTTAGACTATAGTTGTCATAACACACACCAAGTTTGGTGTGAATCGGTGAATGCGTTAGGGAGATATCGCCTCAAGTCCATTTTTGCAAGTTCTACGTTAAATTTGTTCGCAAGTTAAACGAAAACGGTTGGTCTAATCAACTTGAATTCCATAACTTTTGGTTGGCATGGTCTGTAGATCATGTGATTCAATTTTGGTGAAAATCGGAGACACGGCCTAGGACGAGTTCGATCAAATAGGTTTTTCGAAAAATTTAAAATAGCGCGAAAAAATTCATGACGGAAAATGACGTCATAGGGTGCGTTTGAATCGGACTGAGCCAAGGAATCAGAGGAAAAAAGAATTTTGATTGTAGCCCATTCGGTTCAAAAGTTATGATGATAAACATACGAGAAAGTTTGGACAAGTGGTGGCGCTAGAGAGTTTGATTTTGAGACTTCATAATTGGCCTGATTAATGTTAATACTGGCCTCTATCATTGTGCCAAATTATACAACTTTCCCGCATACGCCTATATGGGCTGCCATTCAAATCCGGCGGAAGAAACGGAAGAAGAAGAAGAATAATAATAATAAATATAGCTGCAAGCAGCAATTAAGGGGCCAAGCACTATTGGCCATAAGGTGGCGCTGCTCCAGACGTTTTTGAGTACTTTCAGGGCATGGGGTTGAAGATGCATACCATGTTTTGTAATGTGTGAATGTGTTGGTAAAATATAGCATTTTTGGCCAAAAATCGAAATGGGCGACACCCAAAATGGCTGACCTGTGAAAATCAGACATCATTCGACTCGGCATGCTCTGCCGGATGTAATGAGACCAGTTTCATGAGTTTCGGACGAAAGGTTGAGACGTTATAAGCCAAAAAGCAAGTTTTTAGTATCTCCGGACCACTAGGGGGCAGTGCGCCGAAACTCCGCAATTAACCTTAGACCCTAGTTGTTATAACACACACCAAGTTTGGTGTGAATCGGTGAATGCGTTACAGAGATATCGCCTCAAGTCCATTTTTGCAAGTTCTACGTTAAATTAGTTCGCAAGTTAAACGAAAACGGTTGGTCTAATCAACTTGAATTCCATAACTTTTGGTTGGCATGGTCTGTAGATCATGTGATTAAATTTTGGTGAAAATCGGAGACACGGCGTAGGACGAGTTCGATCAAATAGGTTTTTCGAAAAATTTAAAATAACGCGAAAAAAGTCATGACGGAAAATGACGTCATAGGGTGCGTTTGAATCGGACTGAGCCAAGGAATCAGAGGAAAAAAGAATTTTGATTGTAGCCCATTCGGTTCAAAAGTTATGATGATAAACATACGTGAAAGTTTGGACAAGTGGTGGCGCTAGAGAGTTTGATTTTGAGACTTCATAATTGGCCTGATTAATGTTAATACTGGCCTCTATCATTGTGCCAAATTATACAACTTTCCCGCATACGCCTATATGGGCTGCCATTCAAATCCGGCGGAAGAAACGGAAGAAGAAGAAGAAGAAGAATAATAATAATAATAAATATAGCTGCAAGCAGCAATTAAGGGGCCAAGCACTATTGGCCATAAGGTGGCGCTGCTCCAGACGTTTTTGAGTACTTTCAGGGCATGGGGTTGAAGATGCATACCATGTTTTGTAATGATATGTGAATGTGTTGGTAAA